TACGTGGGGTCCATGTTTCTTTCCGATTCAGACGTGAAATTCGCCGGAGGGTTCGGACAGAATCGGCTTAGCGCGGTAAGGGTGTCAGCCCTTCGCGAGCTTTCCCCGCAAGTGGATCGTCAGATCCGATCTACATGTACATATATTCTGTTCCTACATGAGGAGCACCTCAACTCGACTCGACAGGAGCGTACACCCGTGTCTATCAGTCAGGCTCCTAAGAATACTGACTGTTGAGGTTTAGGTAGAAACTGGAAACTACTAGTCCTCGTTCCGTACTAGGACTATGACTCATACCGACTCCACGGGGCCATATACCCGTGACAGTAGTAAAATACGTGATTCACCGGGGTTATACCCCGAAGTTACGACTCTAGCATGATACCCTTGAGGTAGTACGAAATTGGGCTAGCACCCCACATGCTAGCACCCCACACCCAATAGCATTCTAGGACGCTACTCATGATAGACCAAGGTAGCCTTATCCTATGTACATATGTGTATGTACGGATCCGGACGTGTAAGGAGGAGCTTAGACTCCTGCCTAGGTATAAAAGACCTAAGATTTCGAATAAAATTCACTGTGGTATCTCCCTCTCGTGAGATTGCATCTCTGTGTATTCCTGAACGGGCTGCTTTTCTACTCCTGATCAGAGCTACGAATCTTGACCTTCAACAAATGCTAATGCCGTTCCTGAAGAACGCTCGGGGAGACTCCATCAACGTCAACATTGGAGCCCTGTAGACAAGCGGATATTAGGTTATTATTGCAACGCACCGACGACGTGCCCTCCTCACTCCAAACGGATTGGTAGATTGAGACAGTATCTATGCCGCGCGCCATCACGGAATCGGACCGAATTCCCGCTCTCTTTTCAGCCTTCTGATCCTAATATCCTGCGATGCTCTGCGATCCGTGGTCCAGGAGATCGCGAAGAAACGCGACGGACCCGCATGATCTGGCGCCTGCTATTCACCGTAGAAGGGCGATATCAGAGTCCTACGCGATCTCTCCGCGTGGGTACGTCTGGCACCGCAGGCGTAACGGGTCCGACAAGATCGGGCTGCTGAAGTTTCTGTGGAGTAGCGATCTCGAAGCATTCCACCAGACCCGCGCGGTGACCGAATTCTTGGCGAGTGAGACGGTGCAACGCTTGCGTCCGAGCGCCATGTTTATATTCGGGTCTCCATAGAGTTCAATCGGTGGGGGGGTGGGGTAAGAGGGGATCCTCGGATATAGTGCTGAGCGTCGTCAGCTTCCGATTGATGGTTACACGAGAGTCATTCATGTACGGGAAGGCCGCGGCCTACGGCTATGGAATGGCGTTCCGAGGTCCAAGGGTCCTCAAGCACTTCCTGGAATCTCGTACGGGACTTCCGTGAATCGCGGAGAGTCCTGCAGGATGGTATCCTGCAAGTTGACACAGAATAGCCATCGCTGAGTCCTCCGTATGCGGAGCTCTCACGTTAATCTCCTCTCTCGAGTCTTGAGCGACCTCGTGTGCGACCAGAGAAAGCTCGCAAAATAGGCAGGCAAACAGGCACGGAAAAACGCAGACTAGGCGATCAAAAAAGGCGAAAGCGGTCCCAAAGATGGAGAACGAGACCTCGATAGAAGTTCCAAATCCTGAGGAAAGCCCGAGTATCTAGCATGCCACAAATCGATACCCCGAGGTGAAGATGCTGTCGATCTTTCTGTCGAGCGGCACCATCGTCGCTTCCTTAAGAGACCCTTTATTACTGGGGACCATGATGTGCGAATGAGCATCGATTTAAGTGAAAAGTAGTTGCGCGGTTAAGGGAACGCAAACGGAAGGAATCGGAATCAACTTTTATCGGTATTGACATCGTCTCCACGAAAAGTAATCGCTCTTTCTCTGTAGTCTCGCGGAGTTTTGTCTACCGGAGAGGGAACTCTCAAGGCGGAGAGGCATAGGTCTACGATGAGAGCTACGAGGAGGTCAACATATGTAGTCAGCCATAAGCAGAAGGGATGCTCTCACGGTCCTGTCAACGCCCCGCAGATTCCAGGAGGAAATTTTCGAGGACTTTGGGAGACCTCATGCGATTGCGCCTGTAGAGACTAATAAGACCCTCAAGAGTCGTCCGCAGCCACAGAGGAAGCGAAGGAGTTCATTCGGGCAGAATATATTTCGCTTTCTAGCTCGGATATCAGACATCGGTGCTAAGTTTATTTCGGGTACCGCTCCACGTATGTCAAGGATCATGGGGACCCTGAGAAAAGCCGGGAGTCCGGGAGTACGCCTCGATTTCGGTCTGGCGCCAGGAATAGATCATCATCATTCTTGTCTCCATCTACCAGTTCACTGATTTCGATCGGAGGAGAGGGAGTCGCGCACGCGGAGAGGCGTCACTGCAGCGCGCGCGTTGCGGGAGGAAAAGATAAGCAGAAGTTCCGGATCTTTCGAAAGATGAAGTTCGACCGAATCAATCGGTGATAACTGATTACCCTCCAGATCCTTTGCAGAGCCTTAAAGCCTAGTTTTATCGGATCTGTTGGCCGACTCAGAAGGGGGGGCGGCCCGCCCGGGCGGCACTTTCGAGGGGGCGGCATTTCCGAGGTTGAAGAGAATGACGAATCATCTTCGTTCAACCATGAGAGCTACAAGTCTGAACAGTCTCGCCATACCATCGATCGAGCATAAGCTGACAGACGAGATCGACTTCTTCTATTCTCTCTAATAGTGGGGCACACTCTTTCATTCGGGCACTCTCCATAAGACGGGCACCTTTTCGGAAGATGGAAATATAGAAGGGCACTCTCTAATATACAGGCACTCTCTATTAGAGGGCACCTTTTGGAGGAAGATAGAAAATGATTCCTTAAGAAATGCTCCTGATTGGAGAATGATCTGATGATTGCTCCAGATTTCTTGAGAACTCCACGAATTGGTTGGCAAATGAATGGGAACGCTCCACACGGCAGGCTATGGGCTGTAATCCGTTCTCGGGATGATGAAAATATGGAGGGGCACTCTCCAATATAGGAGAATGTTTCGGAAACTCGAAAAATAGAGGGGCATGCCCCACTATTAGAGAGAATACGGTATGTCCGCAACTCATCTCAACTTTGGACACAGATCCGAGTTCAAAGACTTTGTGTCCACCAACTCTCAATACAATGCAACGATCAGGGAACCTACAAACAACCTTCTAAGAATATACTTATGCTTCTCTCATCTTTCAACATTCAGAATTTTAAGTTCGAAAAAGCAATTGAGACCCGATAATTAATCAATGGCGGTTCTCGAGGCAGTCGGAATCCGACACAATCGTGATACGATTTCAGGCAAAAAATTATAACCTGTGACCTCAAAGAGCGAGAGCACTCGCCTGAAGGGGCGGCATTTCCGACCTCCGCCCCGGGCGGCACCATGGGAAAGCACGCTTGCGCGTACACCTGGACGCAATTCGGAGGACAAGATTTCCTCCGTCATTTGATTTCTGGTGACTTAGAGTGCTTGTCATGGTCACGGAATGGTCGTAACGCTGGTACCGTTCTCCAACTCCGGACTTATGCGACGCGGCGGGGACCCGGATCGATTGTGGAATGCCGAGAGAAAGAGCCGCTGCTTCGGAGTTCGCTCAATCTACGGGCTTTGACGTTGCTGAGCCTGGTTAGCGCTTCGCGGATCCTATCTGCTGTCTGTCAGAGGCTGTTGTCGGACTGAGAGTCTTTCCTCATCCGAAGGTCCATCGCATCCGAAAGCTCGTTCCTTGAATTCATGGATATCTGTTCCGATGGGGTGCTGTTTCGGGAAACGGCAATTCGAGCCGAGCAGTTCACAAATATCAAGAGATCCGCACTAGCGGCGGTTGCGGCGGCGATGTCCATTGGGGTATTTTCGCAAGCAGTCAGTCGTGGCGGCAGCGTGATGCCTAGTCATAGAAGAAGTGATCGCTTTCGTCGTTGTTCTTGCCTTTATCTGACTGAGACACGGCGCTCGAACGCTGGCCGCCCGGTCGCCTGTCAGTTTGTCTGCCCGATCCGGCTCGTCATTTAGACAGAGCGCTCGGCATCGCCCACTACAAGCTGCCTATACGAATAAACTGCCACCGGCTTATCTACGCTTATCGCTATCTTGCGCATCTGACGTCGGAACGGCAATAATGTAACAGGCGATATTATTTATTGTCTCAAGTAGATTTCACATACTTATCGGGCCATTCCGAACTATTGTCGTTCCGGAGCAACACAAAGGGAGCATTCATCTGCAAGTACACATTCGGTTGCCTCCTCGGGTTCGGGAATAGGCTCTGGAAGAAAAAGCCGAGCCAAGCGAAAGTCTTAAGGAGCGAATCCGAAGACTTGTGATCTCGATATAATAATCAGACGGGAGGGCTGGGACTTTCCCTCGCATGCGGAAACGGGTCGAAAGCCAAGATCGCAGTATAGCCCGAAGGTGGAGTCGGGCTCCCAGAATTCTCCATCCATTCATGACCCATAATCAGCGACTCCAGGACGGAACCCCTCGAGGTTTCAAAGGGAGCCACGATGTCCGACTCATTTTGAGACGAGCATCCAATAGAGGAAATTCGACTTTTTTTTCTGCTCCTCCTACTCCACCTGCTTCTGCTCCTATTGAGAGCAGTCTCGTTCCTACCATTGATGAGCGAGCATTCGGCCGCGGTTTAGGGAGAAGCGATTGGGTTTTTTTTCTATCACAACGGGAGGACTTTTATTGCCGGTAGGCCGTTGACGTTACAACATTTAAACACTCAAAACTAATGGGGTACATATAATTCTCAATCTACATATAGACACGCTTTGTACACGGAAGGAATGGATGCCAACGCCAGCAGAGGCATGCACAATATTTACAGAGTTCGAATGTCACAACATCTTGACGATGTGCTCAATCGAGATGGATCCGTGAAGGAAATCCCCAGGGCGAGGACAGCTCGGACGACGGATAGGACATGACAGTATGTACACAGGAGGGAGTTTAAGTAGGCTCGGAGCTAGCCGGCCCGTCGATCTACCATCCGTGACCTCCGAATCCGATGTCGGACATCTCGCCTCCGTAACCGTGCTCCTCGTGACCGTGACCGCCGAAGTCGAATCCTCCGTATCCGTGGTCGAGACCGATCGATTCGTGGTGGATTGGTACCGGAACGTGTTTCTCGGTCACGCTGTGGGTATGGACGGGGATGGGGACCTTCTCGACCGAGTGGGAGTGGTGGTGGACGGGAACTTTCACGGGAACCGGGTGGTGGACGGGAACTTTGACCACCTTGTGCGAGTGGGGCACGTGGACAGGGTACCTGATCGGAATGGGGATGATGGGTCCACCACGGATGATGGCAGCCGCAGCAGCCAACTTGAGCAATTTCTTGCTCTCCGCGTACTGCACGGAGGCCATAACGGCGAGAGCAGCTACGAGAATCCACTTGTTCATGTTTGATGTTTGTATCCTTAGCACTCACTGACAATCCACGCTGAGCGGTCAGCTTATATTCCAAGATACACAGTCCCACGACCCTTTCTCCGTCTGCAGGCAGCCAGTTGGTCGGTCCGTCCGCCCGTCTCTCCGTCGGTGTGGCGGTCAGTTGGTCGGTCGGTCGGTCGCCCTCGCCGGTGTTGAAACCGCGCGACTTTTTTTGTGGATCAAGTTCAAGGGCACACAGCCGTCAGATTGCTTCTGGAGGATAGCGCGCCAACGCTGCCCAACGCGGACTATCGACCGGGCCCGCCTACCCGCGGTTCCGCCGGACGTTGTATTACGCAACTGACACCTTCGCACCGACTACGATTCTGTGAAGCTATCATTACCAGCACAATCTTCAATTAGTACGCTCGGTAGCGAAGCGCACCGGGGGGTTTCAGCTGCCCAAGTCCTCGATCAGGAGTCCTCGCGGTGGCCTAGCCCTCTTTGGGATAGGCCTCCGCGAAAGGTTCGAGTCGCCTGCCGAGGGACGGAGGAAAGCTTCGCTCACAGGGGGAAGCGTCGGAATTCGGGCTTCCTGGATGTATCAAGACTGAACGAGTTTTTGCCAAGCGACCGCTCAAGCGGACTATCAGCTCGGATTCGGATGTCGATGGCCGCTCAACAAAGCGCGAAATAGCCACGACAAGCTCTTTATCTGGACACAAGAATGAGGCAAACTCTCAAAACGATGCAGCGTTTTAGCAAACACTAGAAATTAGTTCAGGCGTTAATTCGAAAGTGGAAACACATTGTGGGCGATGTGGGATTCGGTGAATTGCATAACTGATTTTAAATGACCGCAACCGTTCTTTGAAACTCGTACAACCACTGCAGTAATTCTGTCCAAGGAAAAGCAAGATCTTGCTTGACTGCTCCGACGACTGATGGGAGGGATAAAATCTGCCTCACTAGAATTCCAACGGAGAGAAACTACTAAGCGGCCCAACGAGAAGCTTGGAGTTGCTTGTGCAGAACTCATGGGGATCTTGTCATCGATCAGCTACGGGGCAAAACAGAGGCCCAGACATGATTCATCATTGCTTTATTCTTGCCGGTTGCTTCAAATTATTGAAACACCCCCAACGAGCTAGGCGATTCACATTCGTGTCGAAAATGTAGAAATATGGAAACTCACAAGCCTCTTATCACTATTTCGTGAGGGCAAATAGAAGCGGAGCCCGGAATGATTCCTCGTTCGTGAACGGGACTGTCGCATAAAAACTTCGGGAGCGACAGGCTGGAAGAACAACGCTGCGCCTCTTATTCGCAGTACCTGGGGGCGCTGGAATTCAGCCTTCTGAGGCTGGAGGCGGCGATCGGTTGCAATCGATAGATTTTCCGCCTCCAAAGGCATCCACGAATCTTCACAGTACAAGATCCGCCAAGCCAAGCGAAAGTACCATCCGAGGGTCCGTGGCAACTGATCGGGCCTGCCACGCGGTGCCGGAGGATGGCCCCAGTGTCTTGATTGAAAATTCCTTTTTACTTCTGCGCTTTGTCTTCAATATTCCCGGATGCCGCCCAGAACCCAGGAATCGATCCGACAGCTTACTCAGGGAATGATTTGTTCTAGAGAACCAGATATCGAGGCCATCCATCCTTGACTTTTCTAATCATTTGATCAGCTCATGTTCCATCCGAGGAGAGGGGAGGAGCTCCGTGATCTCCACGTGATCCATCCTCGTTCAAGCTCAATGTTCGAGTTTCGCCTGTGAATAGCTCGCTCTTGCTCATTCGGGGGGCTCTGGGTACGGCTGAGATTAAAGTTTGGCTCCTCAACCCGTCCGCCACGCCGCCGGTGCCTCGGAGTCCCAATTTGTACAGCTGAGGGGAGGCTGAGTCCCCTTGTTGCGGGTGACGTTACGAAAAAAGAATTGTGCCTCCTAAGGCGATACTCGCTTCTGAAGTTTTCCGAATCTCAGCGTCCCTGATCTCATTTCGCGTTGGTGGGAGGGCCGGGAATCACCGCCGAATATATGATACGAACTCCCGTCGGAAGCCGCCAGAAACGCGTGACCGGTTTTCTCTCTTGTGAACAAGTCTTGGGCCGAGAGGAGAGATTTACCGGTGGAATGGGTATCTGCGTCGAGCGTCTTGCGAAAATTCCATCGAATGGGTGAAAGACGAAATCCGGCCGACTTGAGCTGCTTCGAGTAGTACGTGGGAATACGGCATGCTCTACGAGTGCGTACCGTCACATAGAATGAGTCCGTTGGTTGAACTCCGGACTTCGGAGCCGGAATAGTGGGAAAGGAGAGAAGCCGATGATAATATGATGGTCATTGCTTCTCGGCCTCGCTGCGGACAGTCTCGTAACTCCGTATAGAGCTCCTCGGAGTCGAAACCGTGATGAAGGGTCCCTTCGTCCGAGCTCCGAACCCAAGCTCTAGGTGTGAGCTCCTGAGGATTTGGTAACGCTCGATCAACATCGCTTCTCTTCCTGTGATCACCTTGACACTTCGGTTTTTGATCGCGGTCGACCCCGTCTCTATCCGACCGCTGGATAGCGTTAATTTGACCCTATGTCATCTGTGCATGAGCAAGGGGAGGATTCGCTTTGAGGAAGGTCCTCTCCGAGTACTAAGCGAGGCTCGAAAAAACATCATGGAGATTCGTAGGCAAAGCTCAGGGGGTCGTTCGCGAACTGGTCAATAGGATTGCGCCCCACCTCACGGGTGCAGAAAGTACCTGTAACCCCGCGGGGACACCAAGCCCCCCTCTTGCGTAAGAATCGATCGCGGCTGCCGACCGATCATGAGGAGCTTCTATCTGCCTCAGTTCCGGGATCCGTCCACGGGGTCAGAGACTCCCACCAGTCGTTTCCACGGACTTCTGGGATCGTTGGACCATTAGACCAATGGATGGAGCAGAAGAAATTCGATCGAAGCTCTACAGAGCTGTCGACTATGATCGCTTCAGACTTAAGAAGTCTCAAGCATTTGTAGGATTTTCTCTCAGACATGAGGAGGTACTCCGGAGTTTTAGGACGGGCTGAAGGTCTGGGTTGGGCCTGCTGTCATGCTCCAGCCTCCGGCGGGGAAGGGGGAACTTGTATTTGCCCGTCTACGGGCCCCGGCACGAGGCCTCCCGGCGCCAGTCAATCGAGCGGCGCATACCGATCATGAGTGAACCGGAGACTTATGAGACCCGAGGGATTGAGCGGGAACTTCATTCAAATATTCAGAGTTTTCAGGCGGTTGTCCGTGCAGCTCCTAAGCAGCCCTGCGAATAATTATAATCGGAGGAAACCCTCGACACTGGGACCAATCGCAGCCGTGACTCATGTGTTCCTTCTTCTCCACTCCCCCGGCCCCACGGCGAGGGACGAAGAGATCTGCTCCGGCATCTGGCCGGAGGAAAGGGGGCTCTCAACGCGGACCCAGCGTGAACGCCACACTCGAATCGAGAAGCGAAATGAATCGGGTAGTGCGGATCTGCATTTGGCGTACGGGACGCTCCAAGTACTCGGGAATCCGACGAGGCGTTGCCGCAGCGTTCGTTCATGAGATGTCCCGGATCGCTCTAGAGTCCTAGAGTACTGAGAGGATCAAGCAGGATAAAGGTCGAGTATTCCCTTCAACAAGGGCAATGCCGGTGGGATCAATGGACGATTGCCAGGCTGGCCCCCATCTTATAGCGATATGGGCAGATGAAGGTCAGGGAGTGAGGGATCGATCTTCCACCGTTTTGGAGATCGCGAAAGATTATTCTATTGTGGATTGTACGTTTTATACGGTCACGGAAACGAGAAAAAGCACCCGGAAATGAGCACGCGGGTCAACTTATGTACAATAATACACTGCTCTACGGAACGAAATACGGTGACACAACAAACATATAAACATACAGGAAGCTTAACATATTGATACGTATCGAGCTTCAGGTCGACGCGGGACTAGATGAGCGTGAACGAGATGGGTCACCATTCACCATCCGTGGTTCTCGATGCCTATCTCATTGTGAAGACTATCTCCATAAACGTCCACACCTCCATGGGCCTCTTGCGGCCCATGACCGGCGGCTTCGGTACCGACGAAGGCCCCGCTGTGTTCATGCATTTGCGAAGTGTCGCCGTGGTCCTGGACTCCATGATATCCGCCGTAGCTGCCTTCGGTTGCGTGACCATGATCGTCGTGACTGTGAGCGATCTCATGCACCGCTCCATACCCTCCGCCGTACCATCCGTTGCCACCGACAGCGCCTCCGTACGCCCCGCCATGACCGCCGTGTCCTCCGTGACCGCCCTGATGCAGCGGAACAGGCTCCGAGTGGAGATGTACCGGCTCGGGGATGTGGTTTTCCGAATGGCTATGTGAGTGTACGGGCACGGGGACTTTGCTCACTGAGTGCGAGTGATGGTGGATGGGTACTTTGACCGGCACGGGCTGATGCACCGGAACTTTGATTACTTTTGATTGAGGCACGTGCACTGGGTATCTGATCGGAATCGGTATCGTCGGGCCTCCTCTGAGTATAGCTGCGACGGCTGCCAGCTTCAAGAGCTTCGAAGGGGAAACATAATCCACAGAATGGAGGAAAGCCACCAATAGTAGAACCCACGACAATGTTTTCACGTCCATGGCTTTCGATGAGGTGTGTCGAACACCAAGTTTGATCTTTATACCGCTCTACTTTCAGCTCCCCTCCCTTCCGTTTTTTTTCTCGAAGATTTTTAACGAAAGTCCCTTGCTCGTGTTCCTTATCGTCGTCGCGTCCGCGACCAATGTATAGGTGTTGATGATTTCTACAGTGCAGCAACGACGACGAAACACCGGTCAGTGTGGAAATGCAACACGCTTGGCCGCGTCAGCGAGGGGCTAGCAAGCGCTGCTGCCTGAAGCTAGTCCGTTTGAGGCTATTGAACTGGCGTGCTTCCCATCTGAGACAGGGGCTCCCGAGAGGGGTTCCTCGAGCCCCTGGAGGTGCCGGCTGCCGCGCTCGGGGGTTCCGGAGGCCGCCGAGGGTATAGCATGTTATGATTTGATTATATATTCGATATATGATATCGACCAGCCATAACCCGTCAGAGGCTCTCACTTTATTTAGAGGGTCTCTCCGAAGAAAAACAGAAGAATATCCTTGGTCTGTCGAAGCCAGCGACAAATAAGCTCGGAATAACATCGCAAGGGGTCCGGAGTACAGTCGAGGACTTCGGAGGAGGTCCCGCGCCGGAAAGGGATCGAAAACCGTACATCCAAGAGCTGCATCAGCATTGTCCCGGAACATGAACTTCTACCGACCGCAGTAAGCCTTTCGGAAGATCGAGTCCTAAGGATGCATCCGCGATCTGATGCGAAGGCAGCAGCGAATTAAGATTGGCGCGAAAGGAACTAATGACGGAATCGTGAGCATGACAATCGTTCTTTAGAGCAAGCTCGGGAATCCGATTTCGTGGGCGACACCGAGCCAGGAGTCCGAGTTCCAATTCGGTATTTTTCAAGGGCTCTCGGGGTAGGATCGAATCGCTGCAGCCGATCTCTGCATACCTCATTCATCATTATCATTAAGGTTCCGCCGCACACGCCTGCATGCTGTACGCCTTTCCGCGGGAAAAACCCCGTCGGTGAAACGCAGGATCTCTCAGATTCGGGCCCTCGCCAGAGATTTGGAAGGAAAACTCAACTCCTCGACCTCAAAGCAATTCATGGACGGAACGGGGCGAAATCCGATCCGAAGGAGGACAAGAGCGCCTTGATAGAGGTTCCTCCGAAATGGCGCGGAGAATGACAAGGGAAGGTGAGAGATCGCTATCTGATATGCTGCGATGCTCGGAATACGCGGAAGAGTCGGAGAATGTCACTTGTCGAGGCCATGCTGTTTCCACGCAGCATCGACGAGAACTCGTCACGAAAGAAATGATACTCGAAGAGCGGGCATTAATCATATTTTTTATTCCCATTCGATATCGATTTGCGTGCGAGTTTTCACGGTATTGTTCCCATTAGGCTCGTTCACTCATCCACTTCGTACTCCTCGACCGTTTCCGTAGCGATTGTCGGTCTCTTCGTAGGCCGGTGAAACTAGATCCGTTTTCATGGGTGGCTTTTCTGAGGTGAGTCGTCCTCCGGATTTCTGTCTTGTACACAATGTCGGACTCGACCGTTTCTCCGCCTGGACAGAGCTCAGGACTGATGATCGGGTACCAATGTCAATCCTGCTCTCAGCTATTGACTGAATTCTCTCCTGCTGCCGCTAGCTCCCATGACCTTTGACGAAACATCGAGCCCCATTCCATCTGAAAATTTTGGAGCTGGAATCCATCTGAGATTCTCTTCCGCATCGCCCGTTATCTTACGTTTTCCGTACGAACTCTCAACGTTGGAATCGTAATCATCAATTGTAATATGTGCGAGTTGTGGAGCTTTCAGCCGCAGCCGCTCAAAGGACAAGTCCGCGCCTTCGTGGAGTTCTTCCCCTGAAGCCGGAACAAACGTACCCTTTCCTTCATTCCTCTTCGTGAACGCCAGGAAAGTCTTGCGGGAGATAACTGGCAGACCAGAGCGAATCAGATAGACAATTCTACCGTGCCTAAAAGAGTCGTCTAAGGCAAACCTGTCTTCGTACGATATTGTGTCGCAAACAGCTCCGCTCAGTAACAGCAAAACCACGACGAGGACGTCTTTTTCCATCCTGAAAAACTTTTCACGTAAACTTCAAAGCGATGGTCTGACGCACCATCGCTGATCCGAGCGGTCGAGCGCTCAACTCGATCAGGATCGATCGTCTGCAAATTAGAGCGAACATTCGGAAGACACTTACTCAACAGGGAGTTGAGAAGCCACTGACTCAAATTTCCCCTGACTGAGAGCTTCGGAGTCAGAGATCGTTTTTATATAAGTTGGGCGCCGCCTCGATCTGCGTGCGCCGGGCTCAAACGAGATTATTTTGAAAACTGTTTGTGTACGTTAAAGCCCTCTGGTGGGATCGGTTCCGTCCGTAAAACCGTGACATTTCGTCATTTCGAGGGCACATCGAGACGTATCCGCAAACACTGCTCAGCGTGGATCTCTAACTCCACGCCGAGCGTAACGCGTCGCTCGCCTCGCCAAACAAAGGGCTTCTACTCGACTTCCCTTGATACGGCTGGCAGCGCCCACTCGCATTGCGGTGGTCCTCAAAGCAGCGATCCGATCCCGGGAAGATCCAGAATAGACTCTCCGGCGAGCTGGGGCATCGGGTGTGTAGAGCCGATGATGGGCCTCTCGTTGAGGACAAATTCGAATCAGTGGCACTTGAGGATGAGCATCGCGGGTCGCAGAACCGCTTGGTGATCTCGGGCACCGACGAGCTCTGAACATTCAGAAGGTATACAGAAATGTCTCTCTGCTTATTGGTTGCTCATACGAGTGCTTATCAGCGTTATACAGTGAAACAAGAAGTTACATAATTTATTTACAAGAGGAATACGGTTTAAATACACTTAACAAGCTCCATACCAGATGGAGCAGACACTTTCCACAACCGTGGAGATCACATCACTCTTCACACGTCTGCTCGAAAGACGATTCGGGCCCGGAAGTTGAGTATGTACAAAAGAATCAGGGACAAATAAAATCTACGGTGAGTTCGTATCACCAGCCATGACCCCCGAAGCCAATATCGTGGACGAGCCCGCCGTGCCCCATCTCAGCATGACCTCCGTGTCCGATCTCGGCTTGACCTCCGTATCCGCCGTCGTAACCGCCGTATCCACTGAGCTCATAGCCGTGTCCCTCTCCGTAGCCACCGAGATCCGTGACGATTCCGTGACCGCCGTGTCCACCGTAACTGTGTCCGCCATAGCCGTGCTCCGAGTGTGAGTGGATCGGTACGTGGATGGGCACGTGTTTCACGGAGTGGCTGTGGATGGGCACCGGTACCTGTTTTACAGAGTGAGAGTGGTGGTGGATTGGTACTTTGACCGGTATTTGATGATGCACGGGTACTTTGATGACTTTGGGATGGGGTACGTGCACGGGGTATCTTATCGGAATAGGTATGATGGGTCCGCCTCGGATGATGGCGGCAGCGGCTGCGAGTTTGAGCAATTTCTTGCTCTCGGCGAACTGGACGCTCGCGAGCGAGAGCACCAGGAGGGCGAACGATACTCTTATGATGTTCATCTTGTGCGATCACCACTACACGACAAACAACAATTGTTACGGACAGATGACCGAGACTCGCCCAAAGCGGAGCTATATATTCGACTTACCCTTTCTTTTTTGGGATCCGCGCTGGAAAGCGGCGTCCCATCGGTCCGGTGATATTTTGGGGGGCTAAAATACTGAATGGTGATCGTGATTCCCTCAGCCGATCGATTTGCCCTCCCTGACAAACATATTCGGCTCCATATCTATACGCCCCGAATGATTCGGCTATCGGTGCCGCCAGCGCCTAATTTCATCATGAAAGAAGCCGCCGGGCGCACGATGTGAACTTCTTTACTTTTATTTATTTTTTCTACGGCCTTGAATGGACGAATCCAAGTTTCGTTGAGCGGAGATTAGATCCGATGATTCTCGGGAGAGCTCTTAGGCCGGCAGCTACTGATACCCTACCGCTCCGTCGGCTGGAGCGCTTCGGCTGCCCGATTCTGCCCATTAGCCGCAAGATCTTAGCGATCAAGGGGTTCGACCGTGATTTTTGGTCACGATCCCGCGAGCAGTCGTCCGGGGAGTGAACTCTCAGCGTGGAACGGGGCTCATGACTCAAGTCAGAGATTCGATGATCCATGACTCACCGAGGGAAGACTTTTACGGTCCGATATCGCGAATCGAGTCAAGTGTATCTAAGGGAACGAAAGTCGACATCCGAATCGGAATGATCAGACAACAAATCTGGTTATCAAGTGAGAGTTTTTGACTTGGTAGAATGATCGCTGCTAATGGAAAACCATGACTCTCATTGACATTATGAAAATACATTACCAGCTTCGCCATCGACAGCCGCATGGCTCTCGCAGTCATGCATCGCGGGAAGAAATCCGCATTCCGGGCCTCCGGCTCCCGGATCCTGATTCAGCTTCGATGAAATGAACGAGATATGAGCTTTGCTTGACGCGTTCGGCTCCGAGGGAATCATCAGCTCACGCGGTGGCCGGGGAGATGCTACACGTGCGCTCCGAAAAAGAAACGCTCTCATCGGGACGAGGTCTTTCGATTTGCGAAAGCCCGAGCTCTTCTCGGAGCGACTCGCGGGAGCCCGGGCTGTTCTCAGAGCGACGCCACGGAGCGCCGCTTGTGCCGATTCACTGGGAACTCAAGAAGTTTGCAATGCTAGCTGTCAACGAGTGAAACTCTCACGCCTTTTCCATTCCAGACACAGCGGAAGCCCGCTGAAAGAGGCAAGAACAAGAGCACTTTAGCATTTCGTATTAGCATAACACTAATTTACGAGATATGATGGAAACCGCCTTAGCCTTCTCGCACAAACAAACTATCCAAGACTTAATTCAGGTCGGTGACAATGGTCAGTGTGAGCGGCGCGGCGGCGGGTCACACCATGTTCAGCTTACGAAACAAAAGGTCTATTTTCGCCTCGGTGAGAAGAGTCTCGACAACTAGACAGCACGCGACATGGTAAAATCGAAATAGGAAAAATGCTCGGACAGCTCCCGAATCGATTTCTGAATATTCCGATCGAAGAGAAGGATCCAGGAATTACCAACCACGCTGAGAGTTCGCGGATTCTTCTCTTTAGAAATCAACGGAACAGAGTTCTGCATTTCCCTCTAAAACGGCTCAGATGGGTCTCCTCGTTCCGTTTTGTGGGAAATACATTTTCATTTCGAATGCTGCGCAAATTGGAAAGCCCCCGATACGCCTAATTGATGTGGCTCGGGGACACTGACGTTGACGAAGAGTTACGACTACGACCGCTTCGGTAAGAACTCGGTTAAAAATACCGCGGCGGCGACAAAAGTAGAATTGATCTTCTCGTTATTATATTTAGTTTCAGGTCTTCCAGCTGAACGCCGGCGCGGCGAAAAAAAATCGGAGACACATATCGACGTCACAAAAGCTCTTGTTCGGTAAAGAAGTCTAATACGGATTCGATGCGGATTTCAGACGAGGGGTATCGTATTTTATGAAATAGTTCCATATCAGCGTCACACCTGACTGACCACGGAGCAGCCGAATTTTTACAGGAGCTGAATAGAGCTTAGTCAACGGCACTCGTCTTGGGAAGCGTGACTTTCGGAAGATCCAGCTTGACCCATCTGGCGCTTCTTGAGCTGCCGCCTGAATTTCGAGCTCTGGTAGCTTATCATCTGATAGAGATCGTCTTGAGAGTTTGAGTCTGATCACACACTCCGGACGCAGAATTCTCAAGATCATTCCGTCTCCTGGAAAACCTTATCCTCAAGGACATGGAACGACGGCTGATCACTCATATCCGTATCATGAAGTCGATAGAGTCCCGAAACGGGGATTTCCTTGGGGTCGAAACGATCTTCGCTCCCCAAATGTTCAATGGAATAGAGAACAGGGGGCGTGACTTTTCTAATTACCGTAACGGGTCCTTTTTTCGCGGATGTTTCTCAATGATATTCAGAAACGTTACAAGCATTCGCAGCGGCCCACTAAGATCTATGATGAAAACGTTGGAAATCCATCTGTCGAAAAGTCTGATGATCTTGCATCATTGGCAGAAGGATTAATTGAAACTTTGCAACGCCTTGCGGAACCGAAACCAGAATGAAGGGAAAATATAAGGCTTTTTCAGAATATATTTTTCGCTCGAATCTAGCGGCTCCTCGCTCTTCCCCCTGCAACGAATCATCAAGAACATAATGGATTCACTGGTTCACGACTGAGATCAGATTATAAGGATTCGGTGAGCGTGGGTCGAGGTCCACCGAAGCCCTGACCATTTTCTCCGGAGGCGAGATGCCCGGCTAGATCCCAGAGAAACGACTGGCGAAACTCGGCTCCGGTTCGTGTATAACCACCATTGGCTAAGGGTGCTCGTTTCGGATATGATCAAAGAGGTGGCTTTTGTGTTTTGACAACGGGGGAACGATAGTCGGAGAAAAACGCAGAATTTCACGGAGAACGAGAGTCCGACGTCCATCCATTGGCGCAAACGGGGGATTTATTTTTAGCCCTTCTTTAGCGTATGATAGTTTGGAAACAAAATTCACCGTCGCTGCCGGTGTAACAGACTTGCTCCACCTGCCCAACGCCCGCCGTTCAAACCGCGGTTCGTTGCTGGCATGCGTCGTTATTTGCGCGGCGTGAGCGACGGACGCTCACCACACAATCGTGTCAACGATTCTCCGTCCACCAAGTCGTTCGTAGGGACGAAGACTAAGTACTGCGACTCGCGCTGCTAAAGAGCTTCGAGTCAGCTCGCGCAGCCTCGCCAGTCAGAAGTTGAAGCTCGGCTTCGACCGTCCGCTGCGAACTATCTCTATGCAGCTCTATTCAGAGGCCCGCTCATATATTTGCTTTCATTCACCGGGATGAATCTGAGGACGAACTCCCCATGATACGCAGAGGACGCGATCGGATGCATGGATTTTCCTAGAGTACGAGACGGAAGTCAACGCAGTCAAGTCGGGAGAGAATGGCTTCGAGCTGCGCGGAGTCCTCCCCCGCTTCCCCGGGCCAAATCAGCGGCGATCGGCTCGAATTCGGGTATCGTGACTCGCCCGCCCCACCCAGCAGCGCGCGGTTATGAATGAATCAAGAAAGATCGTTACGAATTTCATTCAAAAACTTTCGGAAGACTCCATGGCGAAACATGTACGACCACTCATTTTCCGCTCCGATCAAAATATTGGGAAGGCGGACGCTCAGAATCATTGTTGGAACGTTCAGCAAACGGTCGTCACCGCAAAACCGCACGAACGCAACAGTTCGTTATTGAAATGCGACTTCGATACGGGCATGTTTCGTGCGCGTCAGCTCGATCGGCCGGGATCAATTACAGGCAGAAACCGAAAGTCTAGCTCAGGTTTTATCCATTTTCGAATATTACACTTCATCGGAACGAACAATGTCTTCTCAAAATAGGGACAGCATTATTTCGTAACCAACGACAAGAAACGTCGGACATCGGCGGTGCGATGGCGATAAAAAAACAATACTTGGGTGAGTTTGGGATTAAATGAGACAGCACTGACTTAGTTCTCTGCCGACTGAGGTCACTACGCCGTCTGTTAGCAGCATGGGAAAAATGGATTCGTTGTTAAACCTCCTGAAATAGCAGCATATGTAGCTTGGGGATAATTCGAGAAATCAGCGGTATCGTCGGCCCGGAATGCGAATAGCCTCGAGAGCCTATCGATGCCGTATTGTGTTTCATAAGCTCCCGATACTACATATTTCCCGGAACAGTGTTTCTCGTTCGTCTTCTCTGCCATTCGAGCGATTTGAGCATCGAAGTCGCTTCATCGCGAGGTGTGGTCTTAATGTGAGATGACGGTCAATGAGTAGACCGATATCCTTTGAGTTATTTAAAGAGAGGCATCGCGTGACTGAGCTAACGGAAGAACCGCTATCTCCTTGTGTCCAAAGAGGCAATTTAACAATATCAAGCATAGATATGTGCTATGACGCGAATAAACATTCCGCTCCGATGGAACAATTTAAAGAGCGAATCATGCTTTAGTCTATGTAAAATGAGGCTCGAATTGGAACTTTCGGTTGTTCTGCCCCCTCAGTGAAACGTTGGATCGGTCCGAAGTTAATTGATCCATCATCATTAGCATTTGACGTCTCCAATTGCTGAAGAATCCTTCCTGCCCACGGCTCCGGCAGTGACCAGTGACGCTTCAGCACGAAAGTAAAATCGGACGACACGGAGGGGCACACGGAGTCGAAGCCCTCGTTCCTATAGTTTTGTCTCACACACCCACGAACACGCCCTCATCCCTGAAGAAACGGGATGATGATGTCGTCAACAAGGAGAACGAACACCTCAGAATAGACATGAATGTTACCGATCGACGTGGATGCTGACATGACTTGCATAAGACGCATCTTGCAGATCACAAGCATGCCGCGCCTGAAAACCAATAATCACGCAGAAGTAGGTGGCTTCATCTGTTCGGGGGAGAAGCGTTACATCATGCTCCTCGATAAGATGATACATTACGGCCACTTGGAAAAAAACAGTACTGAGGAAAGATTCGGTTCCGAACTATTTCGTTAGCATCTCGGCATTTTTGAAGTTCGCAACAAGGGCCACCTCTGCGCTCCGAAGAGCTTTTTATTTTGTTCTCATGCATGCATCCATGTCACTCCTCGCTCCGACCACTGATCTTGTACCTTGTGCGTGAAGCCACGATAATATTGTTTTTCGGGGTGCAGGACGGCGGAATCAGTTTCGTCAGCTCGATTCCATATCCCGCTTCTCGTAGGTGGAGAGCTCGATCGGTGTCGACACATTCCATACAGAAAACGCCTTCAGGATTCTCGTTGCGGTCGGCGAGACGACAAAGCTCCTCGTACGATAGATCGTCATTCTCATCCAGGACGGTGCTCAGTGCGGAATGATTGCTCTTCTTGTTCCCGATGGAGCCGTAGCAGCACGGGACGGATACGATCGACGCATTGGCTCGTAAACACTTCTCTATCACAAGATCCGTGGCTCCACCGCAAGCATGCAGCGCCACTCCTAAGTCAAACTTCCCGAGAAATTGATCCAAGTTACACTGATAGAACCAAACATTCTGGAGCTTGAGTAGCTGCACTCTTTCGCGAGCTTTGTACATTGATTCGCTTTTGTTCTCGATCAGATATATTGAACATTTCGGGAGCAAATAGGCCAACGCGATGCCCACGTGCCCTCCCCCAGAGCAGAAGTCGACGATGGTCATCCGTTCTGCGAATAGAACATAGGTACCTCAGAATTCCAGATACCCAATTGATGAGTGAAGAGCAACGATATTCTCCCGTCAATTGGACTCACCGTTTTGCGCTATGTGCGAAACCGCATTGATCACGTTACTAATCTGTTCTCTTTTTCGACGGATGCGATCTTCCGGTAAGGATCCGCTCTCCGGTCGAACAGGCGGAGGAAGATTGTCCCAATCGATATTCCCGGTGAACCGCGAACGGAGATCGAAGCCCGATTCGTATCGTTGCTTCAAAGATTCAAGGGCAGCGGAGGCGTCTTTGTGCTTAATTGACATTTTAACGTTGAGCTTACTGCGTGAGTAAAGACACTCCTTCGGCAAGGGTAGCTCCCCTACGTTCAATGTCTCGGAGACATAATCGTCGCAGCCGAGGTCCAAACTCAGGAATGCGGCGAGCTCCGCTTCGGCGTTCTGGAGACTGAGCATACGCCGATGCCATTCCAAAACATTCGGTATTGTTTCGGCGAAATGGAAACGCCGCCTCAAGTTTTTCAGGATGAGATGTACAGGGAGGAATAGGACCAGGTCTGCCAGCGTCATTACATTGCCTGGAACAATAATCGCGCTCTGAAGATTTATTGAGGGGACCATCTGTGATTCGAAGTCGGATCCCCAACACTCAGGAGATTCTCCGTGATTCCAGCCGGGAAATCATCCGAATCACGAGCGTAAGGGGCACATCCGTGGAATGTACGCGCACAGCCCCATCGAGCATGCAGGGATACGAACCTTCTACAAAGTTGTGACTCAAATGCTCCACGTTCAGGAGTCTCCTGAGATGTTTATCATTGTGCGTTCTGACGGGCTGTCTCAACTGATTCTCTAAAACTAGTAATGCATGCGGGAAGCGGTCGATATTGAGCGTATCTCGGTTTTTCAGCGACATGGCAGTGGAGGGCATGTCGCGTTCACAGAAAGCCGTCCACAAGGACACCTGCAGAAGTACGGGAGGATCAGAGACAAGCACGGAAAGACCGGAGAGCTTCCAAGCTGTCACTTTCGATGACGCAGCTCGGAAAATTGTATCCGAAATACACGACCGACCTGAGCACATGATGCCAAGCACGCAGCGCGGAAGCCCAATATCTCCGTCCTCTCATGGCGCAGCAGGAGATATCTGATGACAGCGCAGAGACCGGATATGACGCGCTGCTCGTCCTGAATAAGATTTTTTTAATTTCAGCGAAGGATCACGAAGACTCCTGGAAGCTCATCGGAATTTCCCGAGAGGACTTCAGACAGGAAGTAGTCCTATCGAAAAGGGTATTCGATAACGTGGAAATGTGAATCCGTTGACTGAGCCTCCAAGCAGGGCTATACTTTTTTGAAAACGACGCTGACGTTCATGATTCAACCATGGCCGCAAATTGCTCCTACAAACATGAGAACAGGTACCTTGATTAAAATAGCTGGTAGCTCAACCTCCGAAATTTGCCGCGGGGGATTTTCGCAAAGAGTGACATCCGGAGCTTTTGGGTTCGCGAGACTCTCCTTTCCCTCATGCTGAGGCACGAGACGTATGTCCACTTTCTCCAATACACCCTCGTGAGCCAAGACATAGGCGCATATCGTACTCTCGAGCGTCAGCGAAGTTCTGTCTCCGCTCATGTACACGATGGCAGAGACTCCGCGCTCTCTACTAGCTATCTGAGTACACAAAGGCTTCCCCCTCTGGGGTAAGAGCCAAGCCATTGCGATTGTGGCGTCCCAGAAAGATTCTTGTTTTAGTTCCACCAGAGATCGAAACTCGAACGTTTTGACTTCTTCAATCAGCTGATCTGCTTCCGAAGTCGCGGAGGCGCGTGTTCCCGAGCGTCTGCTTCAATCCAAATTCAAAACAACAACACACTGCGAGAGTCGTGGTCTTGGGTCTCGGGAGTTGGGAGTCGGGAATCGGAAACCCTCCGACAATGAGCTCGAGAAGGGAATCAGGGCCTGGACGAGTTGCAGTGCGATATTCGTTTCATTCTGCCAAAGCCGACGGGTCCCGCCCTCGTCGACGACTTCGACCGGGATCGCTCGATGGCTCAGAGTTCAGAAGGTGCCTTCGCTCTGAGTTCGTCAGAAACTCAGACGGTCTCAGTTCTCTCTCCGACTCGTCTTGTTATGGCCACCGGAGGTGAGGGACATACCCCATGGAAGATTGTCGGACATCCGTTCTCAATTTCGGACGGCTTTCGAGTCTGGGAGCGGATCTGTCAAGCTCGCCCACCAGAGATTTCCGGGAGATAGCGACAAGCTCACGAGGGAAGAAGACTTGAAGACGTCGCGTCGTGGGACGATAACAGTAATTCGTGAGGTGCACTTACGATCCGAATGTTTTCAATATCTGGGTTTTCTTCCGGCGGGCTCGACGTCATCTCCTCCTAATGTCCGGTCATACGGGAACTCCTCCAGAGAGGGAGGCACTCTCTTCTTCCGTCCCGGTGCGGAATTGAGGTTCCTAGAAGAGAGATTCCCGAATGAATAACTAGCATGAAGGGGGATCATCCAGGAATCGCGGCCGAATCGCAGGCCTCCCTCCAGAAAGCAAGCCATGATGAGAACTACCGCGTTTCTGCTCCTCGCCACCCAGCAGAACCGCGCGGCAGCATGTCCAGCGGATGTCTGATTAGTTTAAGGGAAAGACCCAATCGCTGACGCCTCCAAGTCATCAATGGACGTGAAATGATCCAGTTTCTCTGCCTCGATCCCCGAATTCCGAGTTCCCGATCTTCACAGCTCCACCAGAGATTAGCTCTACAATAGCTCCAACAGTCTCTCATCTCTCATGTTTTACCGTATATTTCCGATCGCGGAACGGGCTGATGGGATCTGAGCATCACCACGCTCCCTCCAGAGCACAACTCCTGATACCTGACAACCCAAGAAACGCAATAGCCCCTTGCGGAATCAGATCAGCCTTCACTCGGTCAGAGCTTGTTTCTTGTCTCCCCCTGCTCGCTCGACATTCAAATCGGCTCACCTCCTCCATCAGCCAACCGCAGCCCAGACTCTGCCCGCCTCTTACCCTCGAATTCGTCTGCTCTCCACGGCCAAAGGCCTGGCAATCTATCTGACAAGAGCGACGACGACAACAAGTAGAGCAAGGGACAACATCAACAAACACAGAGTAAAATGGCCCACCGAAGTACTCGGTGGGTGAAATTTAATGTCGGGGGCCAATATTTCACCACGTCTCGGATAACGTTGGCTAGAGACAAGAATTCATTCCTATACCGAATTTGCCACGACGAGCATAAGTCGACATCGGGACTCCTGAGCCTCGTGAGTATTTGATTCTTCTCGATATACTCACCAGAACCGACACCGTTCGAAGTGAATACTCTATCGGGAAGCCTCATCGAGATTCTCTCGGGCCCGTCGCGCAATGGTCCGTAATGGGAATTGTGAATCCGCCATATCAGCTCTTCTGCCCGACCAAGAGAAATCTGTGAGAGGAGAAGCTCCTGATACTCGCGAAATTCTCTCGATTCGAATAGGATATTCCGCTGTGAGCTCGTCGGAGACGAATCGCTCCCCCAGTGCGCAGCCTAGCGGTTTTTCGTCGCCGTACAATGCTTAGGTGTCTTACTCGATGTTCACAAAAGCAACAGAGAATGAAGAGACGTTCTCCACTTGCAGGACGAGACGGGTGCATATATCATAGACCGTGATCCGACATACTTCAATGTGATTCTCAATTATTTCCGTTACGGGAAAATCAATCTCCCGAACTATCTGTCGAAAGAAGGTGAGTTCGCTACTTCCCATGCTCCTCCCACGCTTTGATGAATGACTTCTTGTGCTTGGCTTGCCAAAGCATCTGACGTTGAGTCTGGATATTGGAAAATCTTTACATTGAAATTATAGGCATTCTCGAAGAAGCAATATTCTACAACGTGACGGAGCTCGTAGCGGTGAGTAGGGAGTGTCCGGGATACACAGTTACGATTGCGATGCGGATCGCACAGAGCGCCCGGGAAATTTGACCGTTCCTTCATTCTAGCTCTTGAAAGACTCAATACCGGATAGCAATCCGCCAGACACTGATCTCGTACACCGAGTCATGTTGTTTGAGGAGAATGAAGTGGCAGAGATGGTGTCAGCTCTCGATGACGGCTGGAAACTACGTCAATTAGTTCCGTTTGGTGAGCAATCGACTCCATCTGCACTGAGCGACTTTATTATCTCTGTGAAAGGATTCGCCGTATATGATAAGAAGCATTCTATAACCGGTCTCGTTCATCGTACAGGATGCTCCCGAAATGTCTTCAATGCATCCAACCCCGAGTTCTTGTGCGTTGTGGCTCGAGATAACTCCTCTCCTCGAGACGTTGGCCGCCCGGAGGTAGATACGGAATAGTCCCGAAGCCGTAGACTGAGCCTTGAGCGGACTTCTCTTCACAGGATGATCGAGTCCGGTCTCCAACAAGTCGTTTTCTGTCTTGTTCCAGTGACTTCTGCACGAGGCATCCGATGGTCGATATTCCAAGAATGATCTCACGTCTCAATCTGAAACTCGTTCCGACGAGGGCACGTGACACAGACGCAACTTACGAGGAGCTTCGTGGATCTCAATTGATTCAGTTGCATCGACTGGAAACCCGGTCATATCGCTCAATCAAACTGTTATCGCGGAACTTCTCTGGAGCACTTGAAGCATCGAGCGCAAACGAACTTTCCTCTTACTCGGTGGAGGTTTCGTATCCGTTTCGTGACCGTAGCAGCATCGAACGAGTTATGTCGTCCCTCGGGAAAGCACTCAAGTCTCTCGGAGAAGTTCCCACCCTCCCGAGCCGGGGTGATGCGGCCGATATTCGACTGCCAATTATTACGAGTTCAGTCCAATTATTATTCATGTGCAAATTGTAAATAGCATCGAGAATAGGGAAGACAACGTCGCTGATCTCCCAATCGCATCTCGTGGAAGGTTTCGTTGTTGAAGGTTTGAAAGTAGATTATAAGTCATTCACTTTCTGCACATTGATCACTGTTTCACTGATTGGATCGCCCCCGAGAAGTTCCCTCTACGCTCCGGCATGGGACCCGAGCTGTTGTTTCCTGGCTGGCTTGCGTCGTTGCGGAAATACATAGAGCTCGGGCGATCGAGGTTGGAAAGGGAGAAGCTCCGAGCTATTCGGATGGAGACACGACAATTTTTATTCATCGTCTGGGTGTTCCGGGCGAGTAGACTTCCTGATGGGAATCGCTCGCACAAACCTTTTCACGAATTTATAATTGAGGATTCGATGTTGTATCCATGACCGAATGTCTAGGATTTTGAATATGTAGTTCCTCCCTGGGAATAAAAAACCTGGGAAATAGATTCCGTGTTTTGACAGTGACCTGAATATTCAGGGATAAGAATTTCACTCAAGACCGCATATCCAGCATCCCTTGAAGTTCCTGATTGGTTTTGAAAATACTAAGAAAAATTGTGTTGCGACGACCTCGAGTGTAGGGAGTCGCTTGAATGATGAATCTGCTCCGACATCTCGCTCCCGACTTTTCGAAACTCCTGAAGTTGTCGGAGTCTCGTCCACAGCGCCCCGGCAGGCTCTAGATCTCCTTGAGTGCCACGGCAAGATTCAGTCTCTCGCCCAGTCGCAGATTCTCGTAGCCATGCCGCCATCGGTAGTCGCATTCCAGGTTGAAACCACCCTCACGAAAGACCAAGGAACTATCATAGAAGGAGAAAGAGGGAGTATTCAGATTCGAGTGGGCCTTTCAGTTCACCGGTACGCACCTTCGTCCCTAAAACAGTATTGTCCGTGACTTTCCTTGAAAATCCTCAACATATTAATGCCTGTCTCGAGGTTTTTTCGGTGTCTCATCGAGAGAATTCTCGGAGATGATTCTCGCGAGGGCTCCGGCCTTCGGACCAATTCCTGGTCCCGAGGGTTCTCGGGTATTATTCTCGCGAGGGCTCTGCGCTCAGTGAATAGAAACTCCGAGAATTCTGGGGCTCTTGATCCGGCGAAAGAAGGCTTTATTATAGCGGGAACTCTGGGCTCTTCTGAACTCCGATAACGATTCCGGATTTCTTCGCTCCTGGGGATCCTCAAAACAGATTTCTGCGCTGCGCTCTGCGGAAAGAACTCCGACGATTCTCGGAGTTTCAGAAAGCGCACTGAGCGGGCCATCGTCCCGCCATTGGCCAATGCGGCCGCCCCTCCCGCTGGAGCAGTCCGACCCGTCCGCCGTAATCGGCAGGTTCGGGCCCAGGCTTCCAGCTTCCAGGCTGGCTGCTACGACAACCGCGCGCCGCTGCCTGGTCTACGTCGTCTGCTCTGAACGTAAACATACAGGGAAAAAACTTGCTGCTTTCTCTCTCCGTCGGTTGGCAGTGCTTAGCATCAGCTGCGTCCATTCTGAGTTTCTCATCCGTTTTGTGTACCGTTTTCATACGCCCCAGGACAAGCAATTTGTGTCGAATCTTGGCCGCCAACGTTGAGCTGCGAACGCCCGCTGTATAGCGGCTACTAATTGCTGTGACGGAGAAGAACGAAAGGTGAGAGGAGTAGAATAACGGTCGTGGAACGTTCGTGAGCTCCCTATCCCCTCAAGCACCCATGCGAGGTGTCAGATTTAAAACTACCATCATAAGACTCGTCGAATGCGCCTGAACCATCCCGAGACTCCAACAACGGATTGTAAGTTTCAGGCTCTGTGTTGACCCTACCCACTATCCCAAAATGCACAGTAATACTAAGGAATGGGTGCGTTTCAATGTGGGAGGCCAACACTTCCTCACCACGAAAGCCACCTTGGCGCGCGACAAGAGCTCCTTTCTCTATAGAATTTGTCAGGACGATCCTGACTTGGAGACCGACATTGTAAGTGCAATCAATGATTTCTAAAGTTGGCTGACTGGGATATTCTCGCGAGTCGTCAAGTTCCGACTGCGGGATGGCAGATCGCGATTCTGTCCCCTCGACCGCTGCATTCCTGGTCCCGGTCCGTCGTATCATCATAGTGGTTATTCGGGGAATCGTACCAAGTCGATCGCTACGATTCTCGTCTGATCTGATCTCGATTAAGAGCTCTGAATTCCCAGGATGAGACCGGCGCCTACATGATAGACCGCGATCCAACGTTCTTCGCTCCAGTGTTGAACTTTTTCCGCCACGGGAAGTTGATCATGGATAAAAATCTCCCAGAACAAGGTGAATGAATTAGACTTCCTGAGACTCCGAAAGAGAGAATATTCGCCCTCGTTCTGCAGTGCCCATCGTACGTTTCGTTCGCAGGCGTTCTGGAGGAAGCTGAGTTTTTCAATGTCGCTGAGCTTGTCACGGTGAGTTGAGCCGAGCCAATGATTCTAGATCGGGGAGCCTAATTATAAACGACGTCATCACATCTCTGATGTGCATATTCACAGCTCCTCAAAAACCTGATCTCCGAGCACAATCGTCCAGAGAACCGGAATGTCTATCGTGTTTTACAATGTCACGAGGATGAGGTGACTCAAATGATCTCAACGATGAGTGACGGCTGGCGCTTTGAACAGCTGATACCAATAGGTGAGTGAGGAATCCTTAGATCGTCTCTGATGCCTTGAGCACGTTCTCGGCCTTCTAATAGTGTGCTTTTTTGGCGCTGGCACCGCCAATTACTGAGAGTCAAACTTTTTCCCTCGAGGCTCCTCTTACAACTATGGGAACGACGATCAAGCCGAGTTCCTCTGCGTCGTTTCCCGTGAATGCTCCACCTCTCAAGGGCTGCGGGGTACCGATCGTGCTCAGGTGAGCTCTCAGGCATCCGAATTCTCTATAATGATAACTATCATCTTTCTGACCCCGTTGAACTCCTCACGGAGGCCGCTTTGCATTCCGAAGAGTTGATTCCTGAGCGGAATTTCCTCACAATATTTCGTTTACAGCTCATCCAACAGAAGGCGTCTAGGATGTGAGAAACATTGTCGACCGGGGCCATTACTCGGAGCGGTCAACACCCAGCCACGAGTTTCGTCATTGCAAATATTTGTGTTCTCGTTTTCTTGGGCGATGACCAATATCAGCTCTCACAACAAGCACGACGAAATCAGAAGATTCTTTCCTCAAGATTCACTCCGCGAAGACATTTCGGAGCTTTTGCGAAGAGTGTAACGAAGAGTACTTCTCTGGGGTCTCTCAACAGGAGAGGGTTCCGAAGCATGGAGGGTCCGAGGGGCTTGTTGCTCGTTCAGCGCTGTTAGTCACTGATATACTTAGCTTCCACGAATCAGTATATGTTTGTAATTCCAATGACAGTATAGCACGCTCTAGCCCTTGATGTTTTCTCAAAGGGTCAAGAACGATTGTGTTGATGGAGCCTGAATGTAATTTCTTTGAAGTGTGCGGGAGGAGCTAAGGAGCTCTTCACTTCGATGTCAGACGTCTCGCTACCGATATCCGTTCTATCGGTATCAGAGAGGAAGGAAAGAGTGGGAACTTTAAATACTGTTCAGCCGAGTCTGTGTTTGTACCGCCAGCCAGCGGTGAACGAGCGAAAGATGAAAAACTGAGACTTTCTCCGAATGGTTCATTGATAGGAGCTCTCTTCCGAATGTGGATATTTTCCGCCGACACACGCCTGAAGAGACAGCGCAAACGGGCCGGACGGAGATTACTCCCGAAAGCCGTGTTCGAGACATTGGCTTGAGCAATCTTCGGAGATATTCACGGAGGTCTCTCGTAGAATTGCTTTCCCTCTGCTAGTGGGGAGCTCGACCACGTTCTTCGGGAAAATCTCGATTTGCTGTTCTCGATTCAGTGAGTCACCGTTTTGAAGCTCGACAGATCTCGCCGGAGCTTCAGTGTGCGCCATGCGAGCCTCAGAAAGTTGTTATACCCTCTGACTTGGACACAGACCATCACGACGAGCGAATATTTCAAGAATCGACGGAAGAAAGGCGAATCTTTGAATCGAATGGAATACGAGTGGATCAGACTGGACGAATTATACACCAATCACGGAACTAGCGAAAAATAAAATCTCGCCTTAGGATTCTCCCTGGAGCTCTCATTCTGGTCTCGGAGTTTCCGGAGCGCTCCTTCCGACTTATCGCCCTTACATAGGCTTATCGCCCGGATATGAAAAAAAATGTCGTTGAAGCCTTCATCTGTCCCATTCCTCGTCGATTCGACGAACAATCTCGTGCTTACCGCCCGAACTGAGAAGGAGCCTATAGCTCCGCTGTTCCCAAGCATTATAATCGCAATCGATCACTGCGGTCCTATCCGGTCGAACTCGCCAACTTCCCGCCGTGAAAGTGTTCATCTCGAGAGGTGATCAGCACCGCCCGCCGATCACCCCTCACAATTTGAGCCAATCGGTGTTTACTTTTACTTTACTCGTTTATTAAAAAGGTAAACACTCGGATAGACTCCTGCTGCGCGTTTTTTTTCGCATCTCGCCGCTTGAACCACATACAGTGTATCATCTTCGTTCACGCCTGCTTTCCACATCTCACGTTTTAGCTTCTTCACATTTGTGTTTTTGTTTTTCTACAGCGACCGCCACATATTACATTGATACACATTTACATAGTACAAGGAGGTCAGAAATCGGAGCGTCTTGCGCATCAAATCAACATGCTGCAACAGATGACGCGTCCTTTGAATAAGTTTTCTCCGCCGATTCCTTCGTCTTTCAACGTCCCGTCACGGTTCCGAATCGTTCACTTCCAAACAACCTCCAATTGGGAGTTCCGAGCTCCACCCCGAGGGTACTCCCTCGGTTCTTCTCATCCTCTGTCTCGGCTAGATATTAGCCTTTTTTCGTGTTCTTTCTCTCAGTTGGTTCCGTTCGATTTCCGTCCCTCTCACAAGTCCTGAATCAGTCAATCAACTACAAGTCAAATGAGACCCTATGATTCCGCAGATTGAAAACCCCACAATCTCCATGGTCATCAAGTACATAAGTACAGATTTGTACAGCGAATATACCTATACTGGCCATTGGCGATCACGACTCACAAGTAAGTAGATTTGTCGTTTTCCTTAATGTTTTTCGTCGTCATTATGGCTCCTGATGATGACCCGCTCTTGAACGAACGCAGTGGTTCTCCGGTCTGCTGTTCACCCGTCGTCTTTCGCTATGTCTGCCCAGTCGACTTTTTTCTTCGTTTCCCCGTATTGAATTTTTCCCCGTCGACTACAATGTTTCCCTCTTGTCTCCGAAACCCTGTCTCTCGTGTGCGCAACATCCATCGACACGCGTTCGTTGGACTGGATAAGCGTTGCAGAGTGTCTCCGAATGAATATCTTTTACACAAGAGAGATCAGTGTGCATTCAAGCCGGATGAGGTTTAGTGTAGATCTCTGAAAAAGCCGCCTCTATGCAGCGTTTCAGTTCCTGATAGCTGACGACGAGAACGTTCTGCTCGTCGCGTGACACGAGACAGATTTTCTCGTCAATGCCCGCGTCGAGTTTGTTGAGGCACTGTACCACATGCGCCATGTCGAGCCACGGCACGCCTTCCTTCGTACACTGATGGAACAAGTAGTCGCGAAACAATTTCAGCATATAACGATCACCAGTTTCGCTCCAAGTCGTGTCCATGTTGAGCTCGGGACGCTCGTTGATGGCGCCCAACTTTACTAAAAGTCTGAAGAGTCGCCCATTCTCAACCTCTTTCGCCAATTCGGCTTCGAGAACGTCGCTGCGCATCTGGGCCGAATCCAATTGGGTGTAGAAGCGAGCGCCGATCATCGGCATTATATCGTTGATTGTGGTGACTCGCAACGGGTGACCTAGCAGCAGCAGCAACAAATTCCGAAGATCGGTCGAATAGTGTTTCGTCACGCAGTCCAGCGAGCTTTCGAGATACTGATATGCAGTCGGATTGTTGCAGGCCAAGCAGAGGATGAGTCGACCGAGACCGTTCAAATCCTCTTTTTGGTGATGGGGGATTAATGTACGCTGCTGTTGCTGCTGCTGTTGTTGTTGAGAATCGATTGTGATAAGGTCCACGATGGCGGCGCAATTCAGTCGTAGGCGGGATTTCCCCGCCGAGCTCAGTAGCACCTGTGGAAATTGGTAGAAAATGAGAATTGGGAACCTCCTACCAAGAGGTCGGCATCGTATGGTAGCGCCAATCGTCGAAGTCCAGGTTGGGCATGAAAAATATCCGAATGTCGATGAGAATACCTTGCTGGGGTCGATGCATCTCATAGCGAGGTTTGCTGCGTGGATTGTTCGCAAGGCCGAACTCAGCTGAACGATGTAAGTCCATATCAAACTTTCGGGAAGAAGCCCGTGGCCCTGCCGCAGCGAAGCGTCCTGCTGCATTCTCCCGGCAGCGCGGTTTTTCCCACCGTTGATCGCGCCGTTATAGCCAGCGGGACCTCCTGGTCCGCCTGCACCCTGCATGCTCGGATGCGTCGCGAAGTACGTTTGCTTGAGAGTTTGAGCTCCAGGGAAAAAGTCATAAACAAAAACAACGGAGTTGTCACCAAATGCTTTCGTGGTGAACAGTTCCCTCAACTGAACAAGATTCGAGTGCTGGATCTGCAATGTGGCAAGGAATATCCATTGTGAATGAAGCTCCGCGAGTCTTTTCATTCCGCCTCGAGACTCCTCACGTTAAAATCAACAAGCCGACCAAGGATTTCTGCCCATCTGGAGTCTCGTGCCTTCGGAACAGGATTGAATGATAATTCACATCCCACTGAGAGCCGCCAGCTGGACCAATTGAGGCTTGACTTCCAAGAAAGCTACACAGTATCGGAATTCGCGTTACCCGAACTACCTTGCTAGAACAGCGTCACACATGTTTGACTCGTGACGACAGCCTTCCGAGATTCGAGAAGGTGACTTCTTCTGAATGGGAACCCGAATCGAATAAAACTTCGTGCATTGAGGCCTCGATTCTCTCTGAAAATCTCCAACGGAACCCGATCGACAGAGGTTCATTCTCCAGCGACAGAGACCACTCAGCCGAAGGGCATAGGGGAAGACGAGCATCCCCTGGGGGCCGCCTCGCGCGAATTCGTGGTCGAGTTCATGTCCGTGATGACCTACCTACTCATTCGGAAATCTGATCGAAAATGCACACACACCTTTTTCCAGTGATCGATGATTTCGATGATCGCTTTATTGGAAGACAATCGGAAGTTATGGAGCCTCCGGAGACAATACACGAGTCCGCTCTTCACGTTAGTTGCCTTGTACACTGAGGTCATGAGACCATAGCAAACGCTCTTGTTTATCTGTGCCTCCAAGGGGCAGATGTTGGTGTAATTGTCAATTTGTTGTGGAAGATCAGGGAACAGGTCCAAGTTGCATCTCGCATTCAATATCGACGCCCTATCGCGGTAGAGATCATTTAGTGTGCATACAGGAGAAAAACAGGCTCTCTCGAAATTCCGCTACGATCGCCAACCGCAAGGTCTGTGAGCGCAACATTCTTATTTCCGATACGATGGAATGTAAAGGTAGGATATCGAAAGAAGAAGACGAGATGAGTTTTGGCAAAGACCCTGAATTCGAGCGCCGAGTGCGCGGAACCACTAGACGTCGGCACAGATTTGTTGAGAAACGGAACGCAGTTCGTTTTCGCGTTTGAATGATTTCCGAATCTGTGAAGTCACAGGAATCCTTCCCCCCCCCTTTCCTCCGGATTGCCAGCGATGAATCCGCGAGATTCCCTCACCTGTTGAGAAGTTCTAAGCGGAGATCGTCCGGCATGAAAAAGGATGGTGCGTTGGCCTTCGGTTTCATGTGATCGACGTGCGTTGGGGGGCCGGGATAAGCATGAAATGTGGGAGGGATAATTTCTGATTCAGGATGGGATGCTGGTCCGGGAGGGAGCATTTCATTTTGAGGGGCTCCGTTTTCTTCATGGGGTTGATAAAAGTAGGTTGTGCCTCCGAGAGATTCCTGAATTTCGGGATGAATAATTAGAATGGCGTCAGAGAGCTGATGCTTTTTCCTGTCGCGACAGGCGCTCCATATTCAAATCTGAGGGAAGTCGAAGTCGGAAAACTACCGACTCGAGGGATATGAGCAAGAAGAAACACTGAGGTATTGAAATCGTACGTGATGAGTTGACCTATGGATGTTAACCTGATACATTCCCGTGTAGTCGCCACCGTTAACGGTCAGAGGTGAGGGATTCCTTATGAACGAACGCCGAGCTATGACCGGGGAATTCTCAGGACTCTCTCTGTCCCTTAACATGTGAGGAGATTTGACGAAGCTGGGTGAGCTCATCGTCAGCGGCATCGTTGGGTTGGGGACATTGTTTACACTCGACGAGCTCCCAGGATTAGATGAAGGAACGAATTCTTGCGCTGTCACATCCTGAATTGAGAGGTTTGACATCGGGTTTGCCATGGGGTCCTTGAAAACGCGAGTCGCCTGCGACGGAGGAATTAGAAAACGATTAGGCTCTCTGTAGGCACTGTAGATAGATCCGGTGAATTGACGAGCTTGCGAAGTACTGCCGCTCGAGTCTTGATTAACGCTTGGATAACGACTCGGACAACTGGTCGAGAGCAAATGTAGCGGCTGGAAATATAAGCTCGGTTACAAAGGGGACTCATCGCACGAGTTTCTCAAAATGTCTGAATCCGAACGGAGGGCCGAAAACACATCTGAACTCCCTATGGAAACCCGCCTCTTAACGAGCTCTGGTTTTTCTACCGCTAGAAGTGTCGCTGCGTCCTCGGCGGGCACACCGTCGCGGGCTTAGTTGCCGGCTCGAGAACGTTTGTTGGTCATCGCCATCAATCGGGTATGCTCAGTTTACCGGTCCCAGGCCTCAAAGGACGTATGCTACGGTAAAACGACGCAACACTGGGTGCGCCGCCGCCACCAGTGATATTGCTGTAGCCGCGACCGCTAGTGCTGCGGGAACTTTCTACCACAATGGCTATTTCAAAAGCTGTCCCTACCGAACGACTTCCTACATGCTCTGACTTAGATCCACGGCGTGGTACACGCGGTTATCACGCGGAAATAATCAAGGCTTCGGTTCAGATCGAAATGAACTACTGTCAACCCGCGAACTTACGATGTATGAGCTGAGTTTGGACTCAGCTGGAAGCTCGTAACCAGCGAAAACCTCTTCTCCGAGTAGATGCCCAGAGTCTGGAAGGATGGAGAGCAATGATTCGGCGTTTCGGACCTCATGACACCCGATTGAATTGATTCTCAGCGGACTTACCATTCTGCTTCTGGTGTTGGTCGGGATTACCGTGAATAAATTGACAATCATTGCCGTAGAAACAGGTTCCTCCCGACGCGAAATAGCGGCAAACAGCTTGAGATTTGTTCATCACATCGGCGGATGGGCTTCGCTCGACGTCTGGGGTTAGATGCCGTTTGGCTTGAAATCGCGTTTAGAGCATCGAAACGTCAACTTTTGTGTCCCCAACGATCCCTACTTATGTTAGATGACACTCTGATCTCACAAAACAGACCCCTCTTGGCTGCTCGGGCAGTTGCCACACGTGTAGCCGCTTCGAATGCCGTTTGGCGAGGGGTGCAGCGGAGCTACGCGGTATATCGGGCCGATCCCGTCGTGGCTCTCGTTCCTACCGTGTCGAGAGGACATCACGGAGGCGGCCGGGCACCGGAGAAGTCGGTCGGATTCTCTCATACCCCGTGGATCCGGGGTATTTGAATGGGGAAAACCTCGATTCCGCTTCACGGCCTCGCAAATTACCGTGCAGCCAATGGTCAGAGCAGTAGCCGACTCGCAAAAGATTTTGGAACCTTTTTACTTGCCGCTCGTGATCACAATTATATCGAGCGTATGAAAGCGAGCGAGACACTCTCGATTGATTTGATGGGACGCTGTGGATGAATAGTGTTGGAGACAAAATTTCCGAGTCCAAAAGCGAAGCACGGTATCGAAATCTCGTGGAATTGAAAAAACTGTCCACCGCTGGATGATACCAATGATGTCAATGATTTTCGTTGAGCGGCAAAACAGGTTCGGAGCGCCTCAACAGCTACCCGCGGTCACGACAGTCAACGAGCCGAGGTCCTATCATTCCCGAGAACTAGAGGAGTCATTCTTGGGTGTGCACTCGGGAGAGTGCAAAGGATCGCCGAAACGAGGGTCGCTGAGTTGCGGATGTCAGTCCGGATGGATCGATGATAACTTCGATGATGATGATGATGATGATGACCGTTGGTCAGACCTCCCGGAACAGGGCTGTCCGTCAGCAGTTCTAGCTTCGTTGCCGCTATCGGCCGCGATTGACCAGCGGGAAATAAGGTTTTCCACCGCGAGCAAAGCCTCTACTATCGGGTTATATCACAATCGAAGATCGTGCCCCATCCTAAAATTTCGCGAAAAGGAGAGCCTCCACATCCTATATCCACTTTTGTTCGCGGCTGAATATACGTTCCCCATTTTGTCAAAGAGCGGAGTGATTAGGATGTTTGTGAGCTCAATACAATTCTCCGAATGCTGACCACGGTACGGCAGCTGATCTCCCCCGTTCGAATCAGCCTCCTTTCATGAACCCGTGACAATCTTCACAGTTCCGAGGTTCCCTCTGATACTCACTCTCACATCCAAGGATACGAACTAAAGCGAACGATCTCCCGGTCCTGGATCCTGACTGGATCCCGGATCGAGACCGATGTCTCCTTGGCACCACTCCAGAATCAGTGAGATTGATTTGCTTCATTCTGGCTTTGAGGGATAAAGTATATCTACAAATCCCGGATATTTTCGGCCAATCAAGGAATGGTCGAAGGTTTAATTTGCCAGGCTTTGACTGTTTTAACAAACGATCGAATGAAACATGATCTTCGACTGAGCATTCCGTTGATTCGAATGCTTCACCGTGGAGAGCTCCGTCCATTCTCTCTCTGCCTAGCGTCAGTCGATTTGCCCTAGCTTGACGAAGATTCAGAACGACACGGGCTGGGTCCTCCCCGCCCGGATGCCTCGAATCCCCGCTTCAGGAAAGCACTGTGTGCATTGAAATGAAATCCGAGCGGAAGTCCGTCGAGTGACTCAATGAAGCCCGCAGGACTCACTCAGAACCGAGAATGGATCGCCGTGATTAGACTTGGAGGCAGACGGAAGCAGCGTGCTAGTCATTCGGATTACCGTTGAATGCCCCGCCAGAGTGCGTCGCCCGAATTCGGATGATAGATCAGTAGATTCTTGAGCCGCCCTTAGAGACTTTTCAAGCCGAAGGCTCTTAGGTCTGCCCATCAAGCAGGAATTGTTGATTAAGAGACAGCTTGCGGACATTATTGTGGTATTACCTTTTCGACATCATCCACCATTCAGCTGTGGACGTATATCAACATCCGTTCGCATCTTGGTACTTGACCCTGTGACATGCGACTTTCTCCACTTCGTATGCACGATGTCGCTTGATCAAAGTGTCTAAGTTCGACGATCCGTGGATTCTCGTCGCCGATTCACCCTTAATCCTCCAACAATTGGACCTTCCATGAGTCTGCCGCAAGGCAGATGCGCCACTCGACCTGCAATGAGACGCATCTATTCCTCGTCATGCCGCGAGTCTCAATCCACCGTCGAACGAAGAGCTCCGCTCTATGATCTCAGTTCGGGTCATACACCCATCGTATGATCAAGATCAACTCGTTCGATTGGTATTATGCAGTGCGTCGGCCAAATGTGGCGATTCCGCTCGATCCGAAAGAGCTCGTCAGATGTTGGATCTGAATCGGCCATCCTGGATGCGGATGTCGCAAAACTCCCGAACTTCTCGCAATGATCCTCGAATCAATCGACTGGATCGGGAAATATGGAGTTAGGAGAAATTTTCGTCGACTCTGATGTCTCTCTCCGAGGCGAAAAAAATCGACGCAGTTCGAATTTGGCGCCAAGAGATCCTCCCTTCGCCGATATGTTTTTGAATCCTGCTGCTGGCGGTGTCCGGTGAGGGGAAACACGGTTGTGAATGTTGTGAAGTCGCCGAGGATATCGTTCGCGAGCGCAAAGTCGAACGTAGCTGTATTGACACAGTCCGTCGTTTATTGAGGCTTGAGTTCAAACCACCGACCGGTGGAACCACTGCGGGAGAATGCAGCGATCCAACCTGCAAGTCATGGTGAGGCCCCGAAAGCTCCCCGAGGGAGCTCAGAGGGGCCCCATAAAACTCGACAAATACGGTCATGAAATCGAAATGCTGAACAACATGTTCCAATACGATGTGGTTTTCGAAGAAGACGCCACCCAGGAGCAGGTGTACGAACGTTTGCGAACTGCTGTCGAGAAATTGGTGGAAGGCAAGTTATATCGATCTTCATCTTGACTCATGAAATCTTCACTTCGAGCTCATCTCCTCACATGACCCCTCCGAGACCCATAATTCTGACTGGAGTCGTGATTTATGCAGGCTACTGTGTCGGAATCCTGGCGTATGGTCAGACATCCTCCGGGAAAACCTACACAATAGGAACGAACGGCGTTGAGGAGTGCTACATCGCGAACCCAGGAATAATTTCGCGAGCAGCCTCCGACATATTCCGATTAGCTGTGCCTCGCGAAGAGACGACAAAAATAATCGTAAAAGTTACATTCATGGAGGTCAGTCCAGCTATTAATTTTCAAAAGACAGTCGAAGCAGAGACTTTCGCGCAGAATTTGAATGAGTTCCGACAATCAGGTCCGTGCGTACGCCTCCTCCCGAATTCAACACCGCCTTCAATCATCTTCCAGATTTACAACGAGCAAGCCTTCGATCTACTCCATGTGGACGACAAAAAGAAGCCCGTCATCAAGAAGGTGCGTCCATGTAGGCTATCGGCTCCAAGTCGACAACGGATCACGATTGAACCCGCTCATGGACCCGGTTCTAACCGACAGCTAAATATCCTGTATCGCACGTCAGGTCGTTCAATTGAGTTCTACATTCCTAGGTGCGTGACATCCCGCGGAAAGATAGGCCCAATGAGCTTGTGACAGACGTTGAAGGCCTCATTGCGGAAGAAGTCGTTTCGACGCAGGGAGTGATGGAAGTCCTACAGAAGGGCTCAAAAAATCGGCGAGTTGCCGCAACGTCGATGAACGCTAATTCCTCGCGATCGCATGCTGTATTCACAATCTACGTCGAGCATTTGAACGACGAAGGTGAATCCACGCTGGCATCGACCCCGTATCTCCAACTCGTCGACTTGGCCGGGAGCGAAGTACCTGAAGGCGATAAAATGACCATGAAAGAAGGTGTGAACATCAACAAATCCCTCTCGGCCTTGGGTCGAGTCATCATACAGCTGCGTGATCGGTCCGGCCACGTCTCATACCGTGACTCAGTTCTGACGCGAGTGTTGAAACCTCTACTGGACGGCAATTCGATCACTACACTGATCGCATGTATTTCTATGGAAGAGCGGAACGAGGCTGAGAGCAAGAAAACTCTCCACTACGCTCAGCAGGCGAGAAAGATTGAGATCTCGGCACAGAAAGCTCAGAAAGCGATCACGCGGGAAGAGTTCCTCAAGCTTAAAGATGAAAACCGCAGGCTCAAGAAGCTCTGCGCGCAGCACAATCTGGAAATGGGTGATTTAGAGATGACCATAATGGAGATCAAGGAGAACGAGACCAACCATCCCGATCCGGCGGCGAAAACCGAAGAACTGATCCAGCTCATGCTGAAATATGAGGCGACTTCGAAACGGAATGAAGTTCTCCAAGAAAGGTGCGGTCAACTCGAGCATTTAGTCGAGATGTTCTCGAAGAAATTCGACGATCCGGACTGCAAGAGGCCGCGGTGAGTTCACCATTCATTCGTCATTTCTTCATCCTTATTCAGCCTCCCGTAAACGGAGAGACGCTCCGATTTCCGGTATAGACCCTCGTTCTTATTCCCTGAATTTCTTTTGACTATTCGGTCTTCTCCAGGATTTCAATGATGCTCTAGGAGGGAGTTCGTTGTTAAGCAAGCATATATTTCGTTCGAACAGGAATACAACTTATGACGAGAAGGAGAACGATGACGTCGACTCGCAGAAAGAAGACGGCGATGAGGATGTTGAGCCCCGCGATGACCTGCAGAACGAACTGTCCATCGTATCGGCCCTCACTACTCTGGACAAGGACTATGACGAGCACTCAAACCAGTTGAAATACTTCGTCGAAATGCAGAAAAAGAGCAAAGAACTCGAGCAGAAAGTTCTCGAGCTCGAAAACCAACTCGAGCAATCCGAGAAGGAGAAACAAATCACAACTAAGCAGATGAATTCCCCCAAGACCTCAAGTGTCGATTTCAAAGAGCTCCAGAAGAAACTCGATGTCCAGAGCGAGCAGAATCGGCTGCTTCAGGAGAAGTTGTCCAAACTGAAGAAAGAACTCAAGCTTTCCTCTGTGAACAACGAGACCATTGAGAAATACAAGCTGAAGGTCGAAAACATAAATAGGGAGCGCGTGAAGCTTCAGAAACTGTTGAAAGAACAGAATAAGAAGTCCCAAGAGGAGATCAAGCGACAGAAAAGAGAAATGATCGCTCTCCAGCGCCAACAACAGAAACAGGCATCCGAAAGGTCGAAATCGGATGCGAAACAGGCTGCGGAGCGGAGGTGCCAGCAGCGGAAACTGGAGCAAGCCTTGGCAGCTAAGGACCGGCTTGAGATGCTGCTCAAGAAGAAAACGGACACGAGCAACGCGAACAAGGGAAAACTCGACAAATCCAAGATGAATTCCAGTAATACGTTCAATCGAGTAAAAGAACTCGTCGACGAAGAGGTCATCATGTGCGCGACGAGAGCCACAACGCAGTTCTACATCGACGACTACACGAAACAAACCCAGGCTTTCGAAAGTCGTATAAAAGAAATCGAAATTCAATTCGGCGAAAGCGATCTATCGGGCGAAGCCAGGAGCGAGCTCATGGTTGAAATGCGGGATCTCGTCGAGAAAAAAGCGAACGCCCAATCTGTGATCGATAAAAACGCAACCAATAACCGAAGCGGAGACGCCACGAAGTTCCATGAGAAATTCACCACCGTCTTCGAGGCTCAACTCGCCATCAAACAGCTGATCGCGAAGTGCGAAATGCTCGCATATCAAACGGCTCTCTACAGGGACGATGCGGCGACCTTGAAAGAACAGCGCGCCCACGATCTACAACTACTGGCGGATACCGAGCATCAGAAGCAACTCGTCGAGGAGAAGTACGCGGCGTTCCTGCTGGAAGCGGAAAATAATCGCGACGATAACGAGTTCGAGAAACTCTCCAAGGAACTACAGGTCAAAGAGTCGATGATCAACACACTTCAGACGAAGCTGTCTCAAATGAGCCAGGGAATAATGATACCAAGGTCCCCGTTCCCGACATCGCGACTCAAAGACGCGAAGAGGCGCCCGCTCGCCGACCGAAGCGTGGTCCACAGGAAGATCGAACATCTGCGGCAGGACTTCGTGGATACTTCGACCCTGTTTTCCGAAGACGAGCAGTCGTTCGTAGACAACCCTCGAACCGATCCCGACTGGACGGAGAAGGGTCTGCACGAAAGCGGCAACAGCAGCTCGAATCTGACGCGGAAACGCAACACAGGGAAGAGCTCCTCGGAAAACGCCGAAAACGAGATGCCGGCGAAGATGCTTAAGGTAAAATATCACCAGAGCTTCGGCAGATCGATCATCAGAATCTTGTACCGCGAGTGAGCTCATATTCAATGCAATGTCGTTTTAATCAAAAATTTGGCTGGGGCACGGCGTGAGTGCAATCATCTTGATTCCCCCCCCCCCCTCGATGGAGGACTGACACCGTTCCTTATTTGCAGCGACAGACCTCCGACGCGGGTTGCCGCTGTGGCGGCGGGGAGAAGTCTTGCATCAAGTGCAAATGCACAAAAGCTGGTTTCACGTGCTCCAAATTTTGTAAATGCCTCGCGTCTTGCAGCAACGCCCCCACCGACGTGAGTTCGCCTCCGCTTATCCGACAGGTTGTCTCCCGGAGCTGACGACCAGAGCCTGATCCGGAGAGGGTCTTGATTAATCGAACGAATTCTCTCGATTTCTAGGATGACGATACAGCTCAGAAGATCCCGTCAGTTATTTCGACCATGGTTCAGTCAATAGAAGGACAGAAATTGTATTGAGCCCGATGCCTCCTCCGCGTAGTGTGGCGGATCGACGAGGAGAATGGATCCTCACGACAAATTCTCTGGTCACATCCTGGATTCGAAGGACTGACGAGTTCGACATACTGGACGAAAATTTGTTCTTGTATATTCGACTTTATCTTTGAGGAAGAAATTCAAACCCTGGTGCATAAATCTATTCCTAACTCTGTCTCGCTCGCTTTTGGTCTTCAAAATCGTTACCCGTGTCGGGAAGCGATCTTGCTCGAAGAGATGAGGCCGGAGTGCAATATGCCGCTTCGATCCGTCGCGAAGTATCCGCCATGGATGCGATGGATCTCCCCCATGGGGAGAGAGCGTTATCAATCCATATAATATCTCTTCAGGCAGGATAACCTCCCGTAGATCAAGCATGGAGCTCTTCACCCTACGACATCGAACGAGTCGTTCTCGGGTCTCCGAATCGGTCGAAAATTCGGATCTAAGCTACTGGTTCATCCGCGCCAGGAGCCTTCTGAGTGAGTGGAGCCTCGTGAGCGAAGGAGATCGAGTATTAATTGATGGAATTCCGATCCTAGCCGTCTCAAGGTGCGCCCAGAACTCGCGGAATAGGGGGGGGCGGTCACGGGCGCGAATGGCAGCCTCAACGGTGGGGAGAACAACTAAGGGCATACATTATCGTCAGTGAATCCAACGCGACGTATGACCGAGTGAATCGAACGGCCTCGACAGCCCATGCAGATTCGGGAGAACATTATTCACCCCAAGGGACGGTGTTGTATCGCGCGAGAGATGAATCGGTCGAATCCGGCAGCTGGCTTCCCTGAGATAGTGCTCCTATCCGGTTTCCGCGGGAACCCCTTCCTCATCGGGCGGATGCCGGAGTATCGCTCAGGCCTTGAGCCATATCCGACCGGATCCCGGCGGGCTTACCATGCGCGCTGAAGGCCCCAGAGGCACGGAGCTGATCTGTCGCGAGGTCACCAGGGGAGAATGCAATCAAAGGAATTTTTTATTTCCTGGGAAAAGCCAAGAAAATCGCGGATTCTTCCCTCGGGAGTTTTGCACTATTCCATCAACTCATTCTGAACTTCATAGGGAATGTACGGAGGGGCGCTCTGCTTTTTTTTTCTGCCCCATTCAATATGCGTTCATTGCCGCGGAATCGCGTAGGCTCGCAGCGAACATCCGTCGGTTCTCCTGTTCGAGAAGCTGTAAGGTTGTTTTTCCTTGCTGGTCTACCACAGAACCGCAGAGATTCTGATGACTGATTACGTCCTCTCTCGACACGCGCGCAAGCAATGTCTCTGTTTGTTACTCGAACACATACCTAATGGCACACTCGTGTGGGACACCACGAGATAGCATCAGACGAAAAGCACCGACAGAGCACTCGGAGCTGGAGTCAGAGGTGAGAGATCCCCCGATTCAGTCTGGGACGAGCTCTTTGTCGCTCCAGCAGCTCGAAACAAGGCGGATAGGAACCCCGAATCGACGCAAATTTCTCTTTCTTGTCGTAAATGAAGGTCTATGTCGTCCAGGCGCAGTCTAGGAAAGGATATGCAGGCAAGCCTGCTGTTCCATGAGACTTTTCAAGTAATCTGGAGTTGGGGCATGGCCCCGCCGGGCTTTGCGCATCCACGTCTTCGGAAAAATTACTTACCGCGAGATCAGTCACGTCTGATTCTAAGAGAGCTCTGAACTAAAGATGCATGGTGCGGTGGAACCATCTGAGAGAATACCACGGTTGCGACCTTCTTCTGAACACCGCCGCGGAGGTGGATCGAGCGGCGCTCCCGGTCGAGCTCGCGATTATTGTCCTCGATAGCCATTGCACGGCAATGCTTAGGAGTGTCGGGCTTTTTGGTTGGAGTGCTGCGGCCGTAAACATTCGTCTTGAATGCTCTCGGAGCGTCAAGTCGCTGGGTAGTGAAAACTTTCGTCCTGAGTTGTTCATGAAGGCGCAGAGGTACTTACGGTCTCGTTTCTTCTCAGACTGACGCTGTAATGATATTCAAAAGCGGGCGACCCGCGAAAAAAAAGGATTTTCGCAACAGCCTGGGAAGCGAAGTTCTTCGGACATCTCGACAAATCGGCGCGCTTGAGTCCCACGAGAAGCGAAATGTACTCACTCAGTAACTTCGATCAAAAGAGGGCTCTGAACAATGATCCCTGTTTCGCGGCCTGCTCATCCTAATCGAGTCCACCATCAAGAGTTCATCCAGTGAGCTCTTCCTCTTTCGCATAAATTCTCGACGCTAACTCTCTGTCATTTCCCCCCAAACGCCCAACCGCATTCTGGAGGCACGTTGAACGCATGCAGTCCATCTTCCAAATCGAAGGAACAGGGGGACAATGCGGCTCTGATGCTGAGTTGGCGTAGGGATGCTTGAGACGATCTCGAGACTCACTCAAGATGAGTTCCTCATTCACAGGCTCGGTCAGATGTTGATCGATATCGTGATTTTTGAGATACGCTCCACTCTGAAGCTGACTTTCTCTCGGAAGAATGGAGCTGACGTCTCCATAGAATTCTGAGAAGTCCGGAGACTATGGTTAGCACGCTCAGACCTCAGGCTTCTATTGTTGGGCTCACCTTCGAAGCAGGCATACTCCGCATCGGACTGGTGTGGGACTAGGCTTTCCTCTGCCGCGATGCTAAATAGCAGGCGCCCTCGAGTCTTGCGAGCGGTGAGGAAAAACGATCAGAAGAGGAATTGAACTCCACTTGTGGAAGGAGTCCACAAGGTGGCGAGCGCACCCCATGCCACATGGTCTGGTGTCATCTTGCCGCATTCGTTTTAATCCGATAATCTCTCTCGAATCAATAGCTCTCCTGCCCGGTGGCGGGCTTGAGAGTTTCTGAGCTTCCAAGTTGTCGAATCGACATGCCCACTCGAGCCAGAAAAGACCCTCTGTGAATGAATCGATTTTCTCCTTGTCGTCGATCGCGCAAGTCGACCGCACGGCCATCGGATATACGACTCTCGAACCGGGAACGAGCTGGAGCACACCGAGACCTCGCCCCCCCCCTCGCGAGCCGTCAGAGATGGTTCTATGAGCGATTCCAACGACGTTTCCGATTCTATCCGAGAGCAGAAACTCATCATGGAGATCCGGGGATCTCGGAAACCGTAATATAGACCGAAACGGGATGAGCCTTAGACAAAGGCCGTCCCTGATGAAATTCCTACGACTAATGAATGCTGTGCGTGATCTGAGCCACGCTTGTGTCTGCCTGTCTGACTGATAAGTTTTGCGGAATGTTGAATGCACCAGTGAATTCGCGAGCTCTCGCAATCTGTCGGAGGATACAATCACGAAGGATCCCGGAGGTGCCAGCTCCGGGAATCGGAAAATATGCCCATTGCCTGATTCACGTGAACAAGAGAGATTTACGGATCGTTCAGGACGTTCTCGACTCCATGCGGGCAGCGAAGTCGAATCTGGTATATAGCCGAGCCCCGGTATGTTTCAGAATAGGCTCACGCCACACGGAGAAGCTCGCCTTAGGTCGGGTCAGGGTTGAGAGTCGACGAGACAAACTTAGAGGATTCAAAGACGTTTATTGCCGGAGTATGCTTTCTCCTCCGACCTTCGCACAACATTCCATCTCGAAATACAATGGCGACTACTCCTATGTGGTTTTCCCGCGTGCCGGATGTCCGCCGGTGACGTACGCAACTCACAATCAGACCCGTAAACGAGCTCGAGTGCCGACCGGGACTGTAAAAGCTGCAATAGCCGGACCGAGCTCCAACTCTGAGCATAGTGCAGCGTCAATACTACGACTCCCCATGGAGTGCAATATACGGTCGGCTAATAGAATAATGCCAACAAGGGAACACCAGGCTTAGATCCGCTAGGAATGATGTGTCAGCCTAGGGATCTCCGGGGCCCAGCCTGTCTCCAGCTCCGTCCTCGCAGCGCCAGCGGAGTTCGAAGCAATCGCTTCAGTTCCCCTCGAGGATGAGCTCGTGAAATTCTTACGATACGAGATTCCCTGGCGTCCATTCGTCCTTGGGGCAGTGAATTGTGGGGATCAACTCCGAATCACTTCTCCATAGAAACTTCATCCTGTTTACTGAATGATTAATGATTGTCTGAAACTTTTTGAAGAAGTTATTCTCGAAGTAGGGCATGCTGGGGGCGCCCACGGCCGACGATATTTGCGGGGAGCAGAAAGTCCCCAGCCGGGATGTGCTCTTTCAGTTTGGGGTAACGTGCTCTCTCCACGAGGTAGATGTTCCCTCTCCCACGGCGGTCTCGGTTCTCCATCAGTGCTGAGGCCGACTTAGTTCCACCTGTGGCTGCACATGACTGCCAGCATCACTGGATACGCGAGTGACTCGACGGTGAATTTTCATGCAGTCGGACGTCGGAGTCCGAAGAACGCCCAAAAATTCGCAGGACGGTGAGCTCTAGAGTCTCTCTATCCGAGTTTTCGGGAGCGTCGTGGGAGAAAGATTTATCTGGATGCTGTGTACACGGAAAATCGAGCCGGATTTCGCGCCGAGAGGAGGCGAAGCGGATAATCGAGGGACAGGTTTCTCACCGCCCCCCCTTCCCCCCTAGACGGGAAGGCGGAGACCGGATGGGATTCAGCTGGTCATGAGCTCACTTATTGATCATGTCCCCTTTCAAGGCGGGTCTCTCCACTGTCCTCCACTCCCTTTCGTCGGGGGCGTGCAGCCTAACTGCGGGCAGATCACAATTATATCGTTCATTGATTCGGTCATTGCGTCGATGGACGCGGTTTTCCTCCCGGCGTGGTCCTCCTACAGCTCATCCGTTGGAATGCCGGTTACCCAGACTCTCGGAATGCAAGTTTAAAAGAGGGATCCCTCAAGGACTATCCCATCTCGGAAAAAGCTGTCGGACTCTTTGACGGGATGAGTGCCGCAACCCATGAGCTCCTCTAAACTAATGTACTCTTGACTCCAATCGTCGGAGCAACACCTGGAGAGTAAAGCTCAGGACATCTCAAAGTTCCCTTGCCAGACAGTCTCCCCGAGCATTCCAGCGGCAGACTTCCCAAGAGAGAAGAAGGAGAACACCACAATCTTGTGCGGACCTCAGTAGCATGAGCAGGGCAAAATAATAATAC